TGCAAGGCTCACCCTCTCGCTCGCTCCGTTAGTCGCCCCAAAAGGCGCTATACTGGTTTGATTAGATCTTGCAAGTCGCAACTCACAGTGTTATGTACGGTTATATAATCCAAATGCAAATACATAGGACCACTCCGTGCATTTAGAAGTCAAAGTGAAAACGTACAAATGGTGCTGGGGACACTTATCATGATGTTTTGCGCTTTGAAGGGCGTCTTTGCCCCCAACAATGTTAACCGCCCATTATCTATTAAGGGTTCCGAAAACAGGGAATAACACAGCTTGCTTTTCCCACTGAATAAATGGTAATTACATCAGAACCAAATGCATCAGAACCATTGCCATTTTACTATTTACTTACCTCATTTTAGAAACAAATTTTAGGGCTACATTTCGAAACATTTCGATTTTACATTGTCAAAGTAATGGAAAAAAGGTTCGATGCCTTCTCAGCACATATCTACGAACATGACATATCTATAGCTTACTATGAACATATCTAATATAACATATCTGAACATATCTAAGCATATCTCGAACGAGTACATCACTTATTCAGTTCAAATAACAACTAAAAACCTGCCCACCCATTCTTTAACCCTATTCCTGGCGGGCTCCGCCGGGACAAGAAACTGGCCGGGGGGGCCGATTCGGCCCCCCTTCAGATCTCAAAAACTACACATCGCAGCGACAAACGGTAAACGGCATCGGATACGCACGGTCAAGATCTACAATTTTTACAAAGGTCATTTTCAGGTCAGGTCAAAGATGACGTCACAGGGGTCGAAAAAGTCAAAATGGCGGCGCTAGATATGGAGAGAGTTTTTCTCGAATAACTTTCGAATTAGTCAAGATAGGAACAAACTAAAGGCATCATCGTGATCCTCTCGTCAATCCGCATCGAATGATATATATATATATATATATATATATATATATATATATATATATATATATATATGTTGACCTCGAAAGGTCAAGGTCAAAGGTTGACCTCAGGTCACGTGACCTCGAGGTCATCATGTATAGCATTCGATGCGTCTTGACGAGCTGAACACAATGAGACCATCCACGCGTCTGTATCTTGTTCCTGTACGGAGTTATTGGCCAAAAACCTTTGGTGACCTTTGATGACGTCACATGACCTCACAGCTGCCCAACAGCAAAACAGACCTCAAGGTAGTGAAGGTTGATCGTATATGAAGTCATGTATGGTATATGGGGCCATTCCGACCCGTTTTAGTGGTAAAAACAGGGAGTTGATTTTTCCCCCATTGACTTGTAATGGGGAGGTCGCGAAACTGACCTGACCTTAGGTCACCGATATCAAAATTCCGAGATATACAAATTGCACATACTGGTACCCTAACTAAAGCCTGAAGAGAAGAAATTGCTCGGTCAAAAACTCTAGCTCTGGCGTGATTGCAAACTTTTCTGAGGTAGGGTCACCAAACCGCCTCTGGTGACCTGACCTGAGGTCAGATCAACTCAAAATTTTCAGACATGTTGCGTAGAAGCCTTTTAGGAAAAGTCAGAAAATTTGAGCTTCCTAGCTCAACGCGTTTGGGAGAAATAACCAAAAAACCTCAGGGGGGGGGGCTCCTGAGGCCCCCCGCCAGGAATAGGGTTAACAGGTCCGAAATCGTAATAGACATCTCCCGTAACTTGTGATGTCCATTTACATACATACAAGAGAGGTGCTATGACCCACTGACAAGAATACAAACTAGCCAATCTTTCTCGTCCAAAGAAAGTACAATATGTCCGTATATAGAGAGACTTGCACAATGAACAGGTCAGAACCACGCAAACGAGGCAAACAAACAGTAGCTGCACTATCAGATCTTCTGCCTATTGGCAGACTAAGCACAGCTTGCCAGATGTTCGCAAGCGCTGAGTTCAAACATAACATAAAGTTACCGAATGGCTGACGTTAAGATAAAACAAGCGTGGGCCGGTAGTAATCTCCCCGCGATCGGCCGGGTCCTGGCGCCGCCCGCCGCCCCGCCGGTGGTTTGGCACCCACCCTGTGTGTTTTGGGTGACGCTTCACCCTCCGACACGGGTCACACACGTGCTGTTGTTTATCCCAGCAGGGTCCCGATTGCGTCAATACGTCAGCGGGTGATCAGCTCGCCAAAAACAGATACGCTAACAACATCCGATGCCGTCACTAGTGAGATTTACTATTCGTTTTAAAGGGACCATCCCACCTTAACATTAGTTTTGAGTTGAGATAGCCAAGTTTGCGGCCAGGCTCAGAAACCACCATTTATCCTGGTCGCAACCCGCGCAGCTTTATGGTGTTCAAGAAATTTCTACACCTGCCTGTGCTCGTAAATCATGCTGCCAAAGTTTTCTAAATTAATTTTATCATACACTTTTGTTATCCAGAATGGTTGCACTATTGTTTGGTATCATATTATTCCATGTAAATATGGTAGTGTAAAGTCCGACCAACATGTTACCAGATTTGAAGCTGTTACGTTACCTAAGTACCTGTTTTTTACTGGCGTGGTGAATGTCACCTGGATTTTGTTTTGAGGTGCAGACCTAGTAACTCTGACTACATGGGTTTGAAGCTATTATCTATTCTGTTTTTACTGGCCTGGTGAATGGCGACTGATGTTGTCCGTGGATGGCACTGAAACAAATTTTGAGTGTCATGTACAGTGTTTTAATACAATGCTGAGGGCTGAAAGTTGTCTTGTTTAGAGTGGTGAAAGTTCAGGATATGCCAGCCACCATGGTGGGTCAGAGTTAATGTGTTGCAGTCAGTTCGGCTTCGGCAAGCACACGGATGGGCATACGCATCAAGACCTGCTCTGCCATACTTTCAGCCAATTTTACCTAGGTAAGTCTTTCCTTTTTTCTGCCAAAAGCTATGACATTGTGAATTTCAGTACTGTGGCCTGTGTGTAGCTTTCAGGAAAGCAATTCTAAATAAAGCTCTGATAAAGTGCAAAATCAGCAATGCAGCCCTCTATTACATTTTCTACAACATCTTACTTGTTCCTTGCATGGAGAGAAAAATGCAATGTTATGAATTCGTTTATTCACATAATTTGACAAGCATGCAGTTACCTGCTACTATCACTGCACAAAACAGCAGAAAACATCAGTTGATCAAACACAAGACACAACAGAAGTTTACAACATATAGGGCTGCCGAACCTGCTTCCTCCCACCACAGTTGATGCCATTTCCTAGCCTGGCTTGATGTGAGCACTGAATAGCTGCTTTGTCTAATTACAGCTCACTACCATTCAACTTAAACTACTCTCTTCAAAGTAAGAGTGAGAGCGTTCAGTGTTCATAGCAGCTCGACAGACGACAGACAACAAACATCTTGACAAACCAACCAGTATTTGATTTGGCTAATGATTTATGTGCTTGTTGTTGTTGTATCATGGCCAAACTACTTTAACAGCAATAATCCCTGTTTCATCTTGATCTTGCTTTTATTTCCATTTGAACTCAGATCTTGAAACAATCATCTGAAGTGATATCAGATACTGGCTTCCGTTTCTCTTGAAAGCAAGTTAAAACAACAATGATAAACTATGGCAGGAGATGTGAGTTGTGGCAGTAGATTTTTGATTCAACATATGTAAACCTTATATTGCTTGAGACCTCTGTGACAGACAAACAAATATTTATAGTTTTTTGATAGTTTGGATTCTTGGCTTGATTTAGCAAATCAGCTGTGAACCTTGACTTTGAAATCACATAAATGTCATGGTACCCGAACAAATCCTCGCATGACATTTCTTCGTAGCACAATTTTTCGTCCGCATTTCTTCGTCTACAAATCTTCGTCGGTGCATTTATTTGTCCCTCAATGCTTACTCTTGCATATATTTGCGTTAAAGAAGAAATGCGAGCCGATTTTCATATACCCTGATGCGAGACAAAGTAATGCGATACGAATAAATGCCCTGACGGAGATTTGCAGACGAAGAATTGCGATACGAAGAAATGCCATAAGAAGAATTGTCCTGGAATCCTTCATTGGCCATCATATATTGACCTTGATAAGATAAACGCATCATTCGCGCAATATTTGTCGCACTTTGATACCAAATTATTGCTTCCAAATGCCGACGTAAAGAAAACCTTTATGTGACGTCATAGAAACAGCGGAGTTCCCAAAAAGTAAACAAAAATAAAAGTCTTATATCTCGAAAACGGGTGAATATTTTCCGGTAAAATTTGGTAGATGTTCATTTTCGCTCTTTGTGATTCACGCTACATCACTTTTATGCCAATTCATTAACTTTTTTGAAGGTGGGAGGGTCCCTTTAATGACCGACGAGGCTGTCGTCGTCGTCGTAGTCGTTTACAACTGCTTGGACATTTCATGAGCATGCGTTAAGAGCATTCAAGTTGATCGTTTGTAAATGATCGTAAGACGTTTCGTAGAGCATTGGACAAGCCACGCTTATCCTAAATACATTAGATAATATGATCCATTTTATTTCTAATGTCTATGCACAAGGATAAGAATTGCACTGGCGATATATAATCGCATAGCTTCAATAATTTACCGTGGGGAATGAGTAAACTGCGGCGATTGCCTGATAATTATTATGGTGAGGGAAACGACACGGGATTGCGTGCTTTGGTTCATTATTCCATCGGGATAGGTCATCATATTCCTGACGCATGTGAATTGTATTATAACGTCATTATTTTTTAGCTTACAACTTGTTTCTGGATTACTATAGGAGACAAATGACGTTTGTGGTGTACCGACATGAATACAATACTAACACAATTGCCGTGATGAGTTTATGAATTGCTATGACGAGCCATGAATTGACATGATGAGTGAATACATCACCGAGGCAGTCACTGTATCGCCGTAACGACTCATCAAATTGCCGCAACGAGTCAACAGAGTGCCGCGGCAGTCAGCAAAAACCGTACACACGAGTCAATAAGGAATAATTCTATCACTGACAGCACAACTCGCTGTCCTCTCGGCGTATGTACACTTACCCTGTTCGACCAGCTTGAACGCCAGCGTGTGCGGCGTGCCCTCGAGGCTTTTCTTCTCTTGGTAGAGGGCGGCCAGGTACTCAGACCAGCGCTCCTCAATCCTGCTGCGCTCCTCCATGTCTTCTGGCCCACCGACTCAGTGCGGACAGTCGCCGGCTCAGCACAGGCAGTCAACGCGGCCTGGTACTTCGGGTCAGCTTCCTTTGTCAAAGATTAGGCCAGCGGTTCATTGTGAAAGCGTTAATTAACTAACCATCTGTCTGTCAGTCTGACTGAAGACTATGATCTGCCCTCTCTGACGTTCCACCCCTCACGACGGGCCGATGCGAGGGCTTCTGTCGGACTCGGCACCTGCACGCGCCCCTCCCCGACCACGGCAGGCGACCGACTGTCGGTACCGACGGCGTCCCGTCGGCACCGACACGGACCGCGGCGCCGCCAGTCGACGACCGTCGCCGCCAACGAGCCTCCGGGGATGGCCACATCAGCCACCATTGGCGTCAAGTGTAACGATTTTTCGAGCTTGCATTCACTGGCTCATGCTGCCTGATTATGGTGACTGTTTGAAGTCAACATGACATCAGTCAAGCGCAGTAGACCGAACACACACAGACGACATTACGCTAATTGTTTTAGCGCGGGTGTGTGGGACGCCCATGGGCCTCCTACGGTGCTACGTCAGTCCATTGAGCAGCGGCGACGTCGGCAAATAGAGCTCGCCACCTGTGTCAGGAACCAGTGACGGTCCAACGGGCCCACGGAGGACCTATTGACGGTGCAACGGAACCTCGGAGGGCCCAGTGACGGTCCAACGGGGCCACGGAGGGGCCATTGACGGTCCCGCAGTGACTCATGGACCCAGAACGGGCAACATATCTCCGGAGGGTCTCAGTGACGGCTCAATAGACCCTCGAAGGTCTATGTGACATAGTGACATAGTAGCCGTTTTCACGACGGCCATCTGGTACACATTGGTGCACATTTGGTGCAGATTAAGTGCCGACTTGGTCAAATTAGGTTCAGTATGTTTCTTAGTAGCTAACGACCCCTATGGCAACTTGCCATAGGAGATGTACTGAGTCGGAGCCGGAGCCGGGGCGGAGCCGCCGGAGCCGGACCATTTTACTCGGAGCCGGAGCCGGAGCCGGAGCCGTCTGAAATTTTCACGGCTCCGCATCCCTGGACTCACTTGCCTTGCACTAATTGCTTAGCCGTCTGCTTTGTGATATTATTGGACAACATCATCGATTAAAACGCTAAAATAAATTCATAAAATGAAGATATTTGCTGTAAAAGAGATTTGGTGCAGATTTGGTCAAATTAGGTGCATTCGCCGGATGGCCCGTCGTGAAAACGGCTAATAACAGTCTGCCGGTCCAACGGACCGGCAGAGGGCTGGTGATGGTTCAACGGAGCCGCAGAGGAGACCAGTGACGGTCCAGCGGAACCTCGGAGGGCCCAGTGACCGTCCCGTGTTGATCGATGGATCTAGTGCAGTCAGCAGACCTTCGGAAGGTCCGAGATTCAATGGAACCTCGGAATGTCATAGTGACAGTTTAGTGGACCCATAAAGATGTTGACACCGAGCCGGTTTAGTTTACACCGAAGTACTTCATGAATACATATTGCACATAGATTACAATTACGCCGATTGTACCATTGTAAGTGAGTGATGCTGTAAGGGACGGTTATCTGCCGGCCGCTGTGCCCGTGGCCGGCAATCGTACGGGCCGCGTTGAGCTCTTAGTTGGTCACAAAGTCGTTTTGAAATGTGCCACTTTTTCGTGAACAACCCTGAAGATACAGGGTGAGATACAGTCTGGAGAGTGTGACAAATCGCGTTCTTTCCTGCTCGCAAGGCCTATTTTAATGGGAAACTTCATTAGGGTGGCAATGGCAAAGCAAGCTACAGGGGGCGCCATCGCAACCTTTGGCCAAAACCCTGGGATATTCGATTCGATAAGCATTAATTTATTTCGATATCTATCGGAAACCGCAAACACTCCATGGCTCTCCCAGTCAGATCCAATATCATTATGTGGATTTTTTTTTCATTATTTTTTTAAGATAGTCCGTTACCCATGATCAGGTAACCAGCAGTTACCTGCACCCACAGTCCCAGCGATACACAGAGACGTTACGTTAACACCTGGGAACAGTATAAAGTGATCAAGTCGCGGCACTCCATGCTAAGAGGTGGAAAACGCAAACAAAATATAATGCATGCAATACGATAAAAGAAAATTAATATGCACGTCACGAAGGAAGAAAGTAGTCATTGCCATGAAGTCAAACGAATGACTGACCACCATACTAATTGCTACGACATAACCAATTACCATCCATACGGGTGTTAGTATACCTATTACGCATTCGAACTCTGGAGTCTGGTAGGGAAAAAGCATGCCTGGTCATATGTTCGTGCAAGGTCGTTTGATTCCCCAAAACCCTTAGCTTCACCCCGCCGGACGGAGCCGATTTGGACGAAGGACGAAATGGTACGGACTAGGTGGATGAGATGCGGTACAATAAAGATGTACAAATATGGGTAACGCGTGAAGCGTAATGTGAATTTTATTGAATGCAATGAATTCAAGGAATGCAAGTGATAGTGACATCAGTTAAAGAAAATCGGAATACCGATACCAAACCAAGTACCTACCAACCAAAACCATGGGAAAATAGCGAAACCGAACCAACTAGGGAATATGAGGGAAATACTCATTCCTTACGAAATTCACAGTCTTTTATACTATATAGGTAGCGTGGATTCATAAAAGCCGTTTTCACGACAGGCTATCTCATATGGCGGCAGAACGGGGGGAGGGGGGAACCGGGGCACCGTGCCCCCCCCCCCCCCCCCTTCCTTGATTTTGCCATTTTAACATTAGCCCTATATGGGCATTGCATGAAAAGAATGGGACCAAAAGTAGGCGGTACCCCCCCCCCCACACACACACACACAAAGTTGGTATCAGATTGACCTCTGCAGCAAGTGATCGGTCGCACATGCGGCACGCGAGGCCGTGGAGGTTTCTGTCGTTTGCCGTACAGGTGTCTCTGGGACCGTCTTTCTCGGAGCTGACGACTTCAGACGCGGCTATTGTCGATGATCCATCTGGTATATTCTGAAATATGGTGAAAATGTCAGTCTCACGTTCGATGATGATCCCAAAAGAAGCCTGGAACACGGCTTGTTTTGCATACATAGTTGCAGAATGGCAGATGGGAAGACAACGTCGACTGAGACTCATTGAATCTGTTCTGTTCTACCTTCTAATAGACGACTTTTCGAATGTCCGTGTTCCCAGCGTACCTGAGACACGAGCGTAGACGCCGGGGTAGTCGGGCGACGCGCAGAACTTGCCGAAGCTGACGACGCCTACCAGGGTGATCTTGCCGTTGATTTCGAGCATCATCGGCCCGCCGCTGTCACCCTGGGACACGATGGGGGGAAATTGTCAATCATATCCATTGAGTTGTTGTCATACAGCTCGAATAGAAACTCAGACCTCAAAGAGGGTAGTTCCAACCGATTAAACCTATCACCTTGATGTTCGGCAGGAACAGGTGTTCCTTATCGTTGGCCGTCATGGACGACATGTCGACATATCCCCGGCGCCTCTGAGACTCGTAAAGGAGCTGTCGGATACCATAGGTGACCAGGGCCGGACGTTCAGGGCCGGCCGGACCCACCTGGCGGGCGTCCCTACCGCCGTGGCCCTGACCAGACTCCTCGGGGCCGGAAAGTGTCAGCGGGGGAGGGGGATGGAAGGGTCCCGGTCACCGAACTCACATCGCAGGTGTCTGTGCCGCCGTCGCGCTGACCCGCGCACAGCATGTCGTCGTTGACGGTGAGGACGATCCCGCGGAAGGCGTTGCGGTAGGCGTCACGGCAGACCTCGTTGGGCAGCACCTTCACGGTGGCAACCTGCAGGGCGGTGGGCTTGGCGCCCTTCTCGGCCAGCGAGCCCCAGCCGGCGATAGTGACGTCGCGATCCAGCAGGCAGGCCGGCCGACCGGTGCCCGCACACGGCTCCTCAGGCAGACAGATGGGCCGCACGATGCCGCTCACCAGAAGGTCGTGCAGCCAGCCCTCCCCGTCCTTCAGCCTGGCGGACAGGGGGAGTCAGTCGCCCAATCTAGTCCCCGAGTCGGACGGGCGCGGACAGCTAGCCCGACCGACACGGACACTCGCCTTCTGTGACGTCGGTGTGTGCAGCCTCAGACATCGCAGTGCCCACTGCTTTCTCTTCGCTCCTAGATACAGGGTATGCAGCGTACTCGTATATTGCTGCAAGTTTCTTCTCCTATCTTTGGAAACGTTCATATTTTTATTTACATAATTTGTGTGGTTACGCGTAATATAATTAACAGCATGTATTAACCCGCGCCCCGCTGGGGGGGGGGCAGAATCTGCCCCCCCTCCCGTTTTTCGCCAATAACTTCTAAACGCGTTACGCCAGCGACGTCAAACTTTCAGTACCTTATCATACATCAATTTGACACGTTCCCTGAAAATTTGAGCGAAATCCGTCGGAAAATTTTTGAGAAAATGACGTTTTAGTGACGTCATGTTCGCCATTTTCGCCTAAAAAATCGCAAAATTTCAAACGCCGCTAACATCTTCATTTTTAAAGGAATCAAGACGTAACAAAAAAGGTTATACGTGATTCTACTTTGTCTATCAAATGGCTATCTCGGTTTTTTGAAAATTTTGGATTTTGGCCCAAATTTTTTCAAAAAACCGACTTTTTTGGTAAAATAATTACAAAATCCAAAATTTTGAGAATATCGAAAAAACCGGAATATATGTCAGAGAAGTGGTCTATGTGCACCTACATACCAATTTTGAAAAGAATCGGTTCAAAAATGTAGGAGTTATTCAAAATTTTATGACGTCACGACACACAAAATTTTTGAAAAATGAATTTTTTGGAAGTTCTAGACCTCGTACGGAAACAAAAATAGCACCATTCGACTCGCCGTGAAAAACTGCATCAGATAGACACCCTTTTAGGCCTTAACAACCAACTTCAAAATTTGACCCCACTTGACCTGACCTTGACCTGACCTCGACCTGAAATTCATCCAGAGGTGGTCCATATCACTAATTGAGCGTGTCTATTGAATTCTATGAGTAAAATGACCCATAAAACATGTGTTGCACATGCCCTTTTCTATATTTTGTTTTTGGTGACCTGACCTGACCTGACCTGACCTTGACCTTGACCTTTGAATGACATTGTATGCAACGAATATTGTCTTGGTAGTCTAAGAACGCGTTTTGGGCAATCAGTCTCAGTCCATTCTTCGGCAACTACGGTGCAAGGCCGATACTGTAGAAACTTGCATTTTGTACCCTTGACCTGACCTTGACCTGACCTCTGACCTACTTAAGCAAAAAAAATTTGGGCTCTTAAGATTCGCCTCGTTGAGAGCTTTCGATTGCCGTTTTCCCCGTCTTTCTACGACCATCGGTTCGGAAGTTAGACAGGGGGGGCAGAATCTGCCCCCCCCCAGCAGGGCGCGTATGGCTGAATAGCCCAGCGGGGCGCGGGTTAAAGCCAGATTCTGATCGAAGTATCACGAGAAAATAAGTCCTTTCCACCGTAAATATTTTATGTCTTGCTTGTTCATGTGTTCCCCAGGACCTTCAACCGTCAGCATATATCATCTTTTTGTCGGGGTTACCTTGGCCTGAACGATGGGTAATGAACAAAACGTGTTGTGCTGTCCAGGGCTGCGGAGTCGGAGTCGGAGTCGGAGTCGGAGTCGGTCGGAGTCGACAGTTGTGACCGGAGTCGGAGTCGGAGTCGGAGTCGATTTTAGAAACCCGAGCCGGAGTCGGAGTCGGAGTCACCAAAAATCTGTCGACTCCGCAGCCCTGCTAGGTCTGCGGAGTCGGAGTCGGGAGTTGGAGTCGGTCGGAGTCGACAATTCTGCCTGGAGTCGGAGTCGGAGTCGGAGCTGGTTTTTGAAAGCCGGAGTCGGAGTCGGAGTCGGAGTCGCCGGAAATCCATCGACTCCGCAGCCCTGGTGCTGTCTGTTGACATAGGAACGTAACGGTATTGTGGTAATGGGTAATGAAGTAAGCTCTGTTTATAAATAGCACTGTCGAAATAACCTTCAAACGTCATAAGCCCCAATTAACTCCCAAACATAACTTTCACTAATCTCGCATGGTGCCGTTGCTACTACGACTCGACGAAAGATGACATGTAATTAGTGTGCCTTTTTCAGCACCCCCAATGTTGCGCTCCTGGCACTGTGCATGAATACTGACTCAACCTTAACAAAGACTGCTCTCTCGGAACCTGAGCTGTGAAATCGCCTATAATGGCTGTCTGAAAGTTCGCTATATAGGACTAAGACGTTTTACGTTTCCGTTTTAACATCCGTTATGATACAGGATAGAGCAGAGCGGTAGTTGTCATGTAAAATGGTCCAGGGAAAAAAAACGGTATGACAGGTATACCGAAGTTTCAGGACCAACCGTCGCTGTGTGGTATCGTACGGCGTCGTTTGAGCTGACTGGACTATAGCTCTGACCCAACTGGCTAAGCACCATAATCCCGAACTGAGTATCTTACTTGAGGAGGGCCAGGTCATCGTTGACCGTCCTTCTGTTGTAATCGGGATGTCGGATGATCTTCTCGATGCTAAACTTGATCTGTCGCTCATCGTCCCTCCTCAGGTGTTTGTTGACGAGCACGGCCAGCGTGATTGCAGACCGGCTGAAAAACGGTCTGTGTGTTACTGTGCGACATAAACGTAACATAGGTACGTGGGAGAAACGAACCCTCGGACATTGGGTCCCGCCCGCGTCCCTGCCCGTATGACAACAGCCCAATGTGGATTCAGGGAATGCATAGACGTGACGTTACAGTTTTCTTTTCTTTGTCTTAATTCCCCGGAGACATTTTTCTTTGTCCTAATTGGGCAGTATCTGGCTGGCCAGATGGTGAGTGTTCGGACTTCGGAGTTCGGACCTTGCCATCGAGCGTGGCATTATATTCGAGACCCTGGGGGCGAGGGGCTGAAGGGGAGTAACAAGAGATCGGAGTTTAACTTTTCCCTCTCACGCAGCATCTTGGAACGGTAGGGGGGGGGGGACTGCAGTGCAGGAGCAGGGCAGCTGATGCTGGGACGTTACCTTATCAGGCAGTGGGCGGCGGTGACGACGAAGCGCTCGTTGATGATGGCACCGCCGCAGAAAGGCGCGGTACTGAAGAAGTTGGCAATGCCGACCTGAGAGAGGCAAAGACAGATTCAGCAGGCGGTCCTTATCACAGAAGCAACGAATCGCGACCTACGATACAAGCCGATGGATGGTGAGTTTCCTTATGCTTGTGTTCATCGTTGTATCCATGCCAACAAAACAACTGCATTAGATAATGGATACCCTGGCACTTCTACAGCTGAAGCGACAGTTACTCCCCTGGTTAAGTTTCACCTATCAGACAAGGGAACCATCCGACCCCCCTGTTTATACTTTTCTCACCAGCCAGGGAAACTGTCCGACCTCTGCGGTCGCTCCTCCGACGATAAAAAGCTCATGCTCCACGCTGAGCACGCCTCCTTCCGATGTCCCCGTCTGACGCTTCCGCCGCGGCTTCAGGCCGCACATCGGGTCGTTGATCTGGATTTTACCGGAGTCCATGTTACGCTTCACTCTCTCTGTGAGCAGTGCGGCGACGGGACCCGGCGCCGAGCCTAGCCCCTGTGTGGGGCCAGGTCCAGCCGCAGAGCCGAGTCCCAGAGCAACGCTGGGCGGCATGAGCGACCGGTTCTGCTGGCAGGTACTCAGGGTCACCGCCTGCGGGTGAAGGTATAGGGGCAGGTCACCGGGCGGTTGTGGGAAACTGGCGGCGTTAGTCGTCCTCTCCCAGGACGCTCGGCAGTGTTTGGTATCAAAACGCGGCGCATACCACTTCGATACACTGGGGTGGTCATTCAAGTTGATACATCCGCAGTGTTAGACAATCGTCGTCATCTTGTCAGAAAACGGCACTTCTCAACCGTTTCACCCATCCCGATTAGACGTTACTCGGCCGCCCGCCGGACCCACCTGCAGCAGAAGCAGCAGTGCCAGCGACGCCAGGCCGGTGCGCACCTCCCTCGGAGACCACATGGCAGCGGAGACGGCAGTGTGCGACACCGTCAGTCTCTGAGCTCGGGCCGCGAGTGGCACCCGTCCGTCCGATCAGCAGCCAGGCCGGCAGGGGACGCCGCCCGTCCCACCGGTTGGCCTCTGTTGTGTTGTGATGACCACCGGCTGCTGATATCGCCACGAAACTTTCAGGACTTCTCCGAGCATCAATTTTACACCTTGTGATGAAATATTTTTCCAGAGCCGATGATCGGTTGGCCGTAAATTACGTCAGAGTGACGTCATATTCTGCCATTTTCGACCCAAAAAAGGTTTTGCGGGAAGAGCTGTCACGCCTACAGTTTTGGAGCAAGATAAAAAAATTAATATAAAAAAAGGTGTAAAATTAACAGGGCTACAAAACTGTTATCTCAGATTTCTGAAGCTTTTGGATTTAGGCCCCAAAAACTAAAAGAAAATTGAATAATTTATACCACAAAATACCAAAATTTTCAAAATTCAAAAACGCAATATATGTTATAGAATTATTAGCCTGCTATTAACATGCAAAATTTGAGCTCAATAGCTCCATTTTGGCAAAGTTGTAGCAAAAAAAAAAACTACTCAAAATTTATGCCGTAGAATTTTTAAACTCATTTTTGCCGTTATAGAGCACACAGAGTAAAATGAAGACCTCCATTGGATTCCCCGTGATGAGCTGCATCGAATAGGTATCCTTTTTATGCAAAAATATCAGCTTTGAAAGTTGACCTTTTTACCTAACCTTGACCTGACCTCCACTAGAACAGAACCTAAACCGGCTCTAATGATCGTGTAACCCACAACATCGATTTTAAGCGTGAAATTGGCCATAAAATATGTATCACATGACCCTAGTGTAGTTGGGTCCATATTGTGCCCCTTTGTGACCGGGCTTCTGTGACCTGACCTGGCATCAGTGATCTCCTAAGAAGCATTGTATATGGCGACCAACGCTACATCGATGATTCTCGATAACATGCCTTCTATTCGATGTTACAACGCATTCCTTAGAAGGCCCGTAATCGGTCGAAAATACGACCTTTGACCTGAGCTGTGACGTCATCGGTCGCGCCTAGGTCAACAAAACTCGGTCACAAGGTAATTTCCTGGTGGTGCTATCGAACGCCGTTTGAATTTTCCAAATCGGTCAGTAGCTTTCCGGGATCTTACAGGGGGGAAGGGGGGGGGGGGGGGCAACGGGTGGTAGAGTCCGCGTTTAGCTCAACGGGACGCGGGGTAACGATTCTCTAACACACCCGTGCTGAGACTGAGTGGACTCCGAGTGCCTCTGCGACACTGTATGTATTACGAATGGTGGCACCGTGCTTGGTTCGCAGGACTGCGCAGATTGTATGGTACCGCTGTGACGAAGGCCCGCGGCATGACGGTGCCGGGCCGGATTCATGGAGTCGGTCCCGCTGCCGCATTGCAGTGCTATACGAGACTCGTGCAATGCTGTGAGTGAAGTGACGGGGAGTTGATTCAATGCCACGGCCTTATTCAGTTCCATGATGTGGAGTGAATGGAATGGGGGTTGTATCGAGGAGGATTCGACTCACCCTGCATTATCTTTGATTATTACTTATTTTATTTGTTTTTAACATTTAGTAATCAATCATTCGTTGTTTATTTCCTTATTTCATCACTATTTAGTGTCACTAATGACTAATTAGGACAATATTCAAGCTATACAGTCTTGGACATAAATCAATTAAACGCGACTTTGATCACACATAGGCAAGCTGCATCACGCCTTTTATTTAGTAAAATGGTTAAAAGTGCTTATATGTATGCCTATAACATTATACTGATTACTCCATTGGGATATTCAAACGTCTTTGACCCAAAATTATTTTGCCCATTGTAATGAATGAGAGATACCTACTTGTTTCATTTCATTCCGACAGCCACTCAACTGAAGGTAAACCGGGAGCGATTTCATTTGATCCACATCGTCAATCACATGTCTGCGGAGTGCGGAACAAGGCAGCCCATCTCGGGTACCACAGTCTGGCCATGGACGTCTATAACCACGGCGGCTGCCCGGGGTGATTCCTCACGCGATGTGCGCAGTGGGGATTTTCCAGAGGACAGCCGCCCGATCCTCGGTCTCGGAGATCCGCGGCGATCCATCAGTGTCGGACGATCCGCGCGTGACACGACCAGCGACAAACGACACACACCGAGCCCCACAGGAGGCGACAAATGATACGCAGTGCCGACAAATGACGCACGGTGGATAATACACCGCGCACCATGCGAGACACAGTGAATAGGCGCGGATGGCACAGCAGGGGAGCCATGGAAGTTACCGCGTAATTTAATGAATTTTTGCGTGTCATCTACTGTTTTGTGTGAAGTGTTAACACCTAAATAACATGATGATTTTAAGATAAAGCAATGTTTATGCTTCACTGTGTTTTCTTTAATATCTTTGCACCCAAACACATCATACACTCAATACCATTGGCACAGCAAAATACATCGTAACAATTTTTAGCACATTTCAAGGTGTCAAAAGAAGCGAATGACTGATAAGCAGCGTCTATCTCATCTATGTAGAGCCTGTATGGGTAGGTATAAGAAACGTTACAATTACTTCAAAGTGAGCCCGCAACATTTAATAAAAAAGCGAAAAGTCGTCAAAAATTATCAAACCAAAGTCATCTGAGAGACAAAGCCATAATCTTGAAAAGAACGTATCATAGTTTGAACTTTGAATGCGACAGCTCATAAATGAACCGAGACCTTGCATTCCTTCAAAGGAATAGCTGATTAAGTGACTTCTCAGTTTTTACTGAGACCAATAGATTCGGATAACAAAAAAAAAAAAAAAATCCAGCGAAAGTTGCATCATTGTAATGCCGAAGTCGATTCTACTTTATCTGCGGTCCCACTGCCCACTGATCTCTCGGTGTTACTGTGCGATGTCACTACTTCCAGTGAAGAAATAAACCACCGCACGTCAGCGGCGGTAACCATTCGCCGCTGTTCGCGCGACTGAGGGCTGCGAGAATATCGCCACCGCTGCACCGGATATCGTCACCATCGCGGCGAATATCGCCACAATCGCCGCACGGAAGAGCTCGGCCGACTTCTCGAATCCGTGCCGCAGTGCTTTGGACTGTGAACAGTCGATACGAGCGCATTATTATGCATTCAGATGCGCAAACATTGTGAGCCACTGAAATGTAGGTAGGTATGTAAGATAGTGCTTGTGACTGACGTAAGTACATACATATTTCAGAACAATTATAGAATATGCCTTATAGTAACTTCGAAACAATTGCATCGAGGTATATAATATATATGTCTTGTCATAAGTAAACATGTCTTATATGACCAAGCTTATGAAAAACATGAAAGCCTCGTTACAACGGGACAAGCGACGCTGCTTCCGGGGGCGGATGGGATCCGGAAGGGTAGAGGCGGGGAGGGGCGGGGCCGCGGGATGCTGGACGGTGCCACCGCGCGCCACTGGCTTACCGGCCACTGTATCGGGCGAGAGTAATTTTATTACCGGGAGAGAGCGCTGGCATTTCATCAGAGGACACCGGCATTGGCTCACCATCGAGGACCACCCAATCAATTAGGCGCGAGCAGGAATTACGGAGAAAACACACCTTGCTGCGGCGGCGGATAACCTTGTAGTAAGTGGTTCCCCGAATGCCAGAATGCAAGATAAATTCATCGTGTGCGCTGCTGAATAAATGAGTACCTGCTCTGCTCGCAATAACAGCAGTATAGTAATAAGCCCATGAACGATGCACGGTGACGAATTGCGCTATCAACTCATTATTATTAATAGCGCTGGTAAGACAAAAATCTCGTTAGTTTTGGTAGATAATGTGAGCGTTGATCGTGTGGGCACAACAGCAAATTCCTGACAGTTTGGAAATGGTGAACTACATTAGCAAATGATGGGCTGATGTCGGATACGAATATCATTGTGAAGTTGGCCACTATCCCCTGATTTAGCTCCTCGATAATAAATGGAATATGGATGCTCACGGTGTTTTCATCGAGCAGGAAACTTTTCTGGTCTGCTAAGCTCATACCGTGAAGTCTGTTTGGAATGTATTGTATCACGTTGGAATCATTGGAGTGTACTCTGAGCACATAAATGCGTATATACCTTACGACCTTTCTGTTTGAATTCTACATGGCCATTGGCCATCAGACATCAATATTCAATAGCTTAACAACCAAGCAGCCTCCATGTACTCACTTTGTTTTTCGACAGTGACATTTTATTGTTTGCGGCACCCCAATTAGTTATGTAACGGGACTTGTTGCAAGGTGTCTTGAGTCCTCTGTTGCAGTGGACGGTGTGACTGGCGGCGGTCCTTCTGCAGAATAATGTGTCAATAGTCGTTGGTCCGTGGATGGCCGGCACCACACGGTACGCGCGGCATTAGGATGGGTCACAATGGCGCCCGACGCGCGGTCGATGTAACCCTTTTCACGTCCGGTGGAAGCGCTCAGTCGGAACAAATTATGCCAGAAACTGCAGCGAGGTATGTGTGAAACGGTTGGTGTCGCAGCCCGCTGACCGTCGCGCCGTGGGGGACATTTCACTGTGCGAACAGTGGCCGCCATACGCCGTGACCTCAACTGACCTCTGTAAGGCTCAACAACTCGTCCGATGCATTACAAGTTTGGCAACGGTGATGTTTCAGACTGGCTTCGTTAAGTCGTGTCAAGCAATAGCAATGGGTCTCGTTTCTAGTGGAATGGAGCGGTCACCCATTCTCGAAATTCGTATATGCATGGACGGAAGTAAAGTCCGTATTTACAGGGACGTCCACGTTTTTCGGTGTCACGCCGTTGCCATTGAATTTTCGACGATGCCCTCTTGACATGACAACAAGCGAAGTTGCCCGCTTGTTACTAGCCCGATTCTGTGCCGAAATTGACGTGTTTAAGGGTAGAGAATTCGACCGACATACATGGACCAAAAAAAGATGTGATAAGGGTGTTTGCATGGACAGTGGGCGGAGCCTAATTTCTCTACGAGTTATTTTCATATATCCATGGACTTGTGGGCGGAGCTTAACACAGTCCATGTAAGCACGGTTTTATTCGCTTACTCGATTCGAAAGCATGAACCCGTTCTAGTATCACCTTTATTCGTGTTTTATCGCCATTAGATTGTATGTCATGCGCGTAATTTAATCCTCGCCAGACCTATTGTTTTTCTACATACCGTTGGTACGACCCCCTCACCTTTTCGGCCCTAATAAATAACCTGAACTCATGTGACCTTTAGGAAAAATCCGAGATGTACAAGGTGTGAGGCCTCTAGATGATATTAGCCATTAGGCACTGTAAGTTTCATCTCCCTTTGAAAGCTCCTCTGACACTGAGAGCGTTGCGAAGTTGCGACATTTTAGGACCGTGCAGATGCTCACTTATGTCGTAGGTCATTGACTTGACCTGACCTGAAAATGCGGATGATGTCACAAGATTCGGGTTGAATCAAATGTCAGGTATGCTAAGGTCCAGCTCTCTATCTCCAGCGTGTCCCGAGCTATCGTAAAAAAAATATAAAAGGCGCGGCGCTCCCCCCCCCCCCTACCATTCGGCCGGCGAGCGTTAGTTAAACCGCGCCTGACAGCGAGGAGGGCTATTTAGAGCCCCTCCCCCTCCCTACACACTATACAAAAACATATAAACACTAAAATGTGTGTGCAAATTTTATATAAAAAAAATGTGTGGAGATCTGATGATTGTTCGGAATGATGAACTCGAGTGAAGCGTGAATTGTCGGCACCGATCACCCCGTCAAAGAGCAAGAAAGTAGCTGCTAAAGAGTTAACCCGCGCGGGGCTGGGGTCTCCAGCCGAACGCGCGGGGCTGGGGGGGGGGTAAATTTTACCCCCCCTGTTATCTCCCGAACTAACGGTCCGATTTGGAAAATTCAAACGCCAATCGAAAGCTCTCATCACGAACTACTAAAAAATGTACTTAATTTTAAGTTTGAGGTCAAGGTCAAGGTCAGGTCAAGGGTACAAATTGCAAGTTTCTACAGTATCGGCCTTGCACCGTAGTTGCCGAAGAATGGAGTCATGGACTGAGACTGATCGCCCAAAACGTGTTCTTAGGCTACCAAGACAATATTCGTTGCATACAATATCATTCAGAGTTCAAGGTCAAGGTCAGGTCAGGTCAGGTCAGGTCACCAAAAAAACAAAATATAGAAAAGGGCATGTGCGACACATGTTTTATGGGTCATTTTACTCATAGAATTCAATAGGCACACTCAATAAGTGATATGGACCACCTCTGGATGAATTTCAGGTCGAGGTCAGGTCAAGGTCAGGTCAAGTGAGGTCAAATTTTGAAGTTGGTTGTTAAGGCCTAAAAAGGTGTCTATCTGATGCAGTTTTTCACGGCGAATCGAATGGTGCTATTTTTGTTTCCGTACGAGGTCTAGAACTTCCAAAAAAGTCATTTTTCAAAAATTTTGTGTGTCGTGACGTCATAAAATTTTGAATAACTCCCACATTTTTGAACCGATTCTTCTAAAATTTGGTATGTAGGTGCACATATACCACTTCTCTGACATATATTCCGGTTTTTTCGATAGACTCAAAATTTTGGATTTTATAATGATTTTCCCAAAAAAGTCAGTTTTTTGAAAAAATTTAGGCCAAAATCCAAAATTTTCAAAAAACCGAGATAGCCATTTGATAGACAAAGTAAAATTACATATAACCTTTTTTGTTACGTCTTGATTCCTTTAAAAATGAAGATGTTAGCGGCGTTTGAACTTTTGCCGTTTTTGAGGCGAAAATGACGAACATGACGTCACTAAAACGTCAATTTCTCAAAAATTTTCCGACGGATTTCGCTCAAATTTTCAGGGAACGTGTCAAATTGATGTAAGAAAAGGTACTGAAAGTTTGGCGGCGCTGCGCGCCGCCGTTTTTGAGATATCGCAAAAATTCGCGAGGGGGGGTAAAATTTACCCCCCCCCCAGCCCCGCGCGGGTTAAACGAGGTCATATCACATGGGCATGAAAACACTTACTATCGACTGTTCGAATTATTCAAATGTATTGCTTAAGTCTCGCTCAGCTTCCAAATTATGCAGAACATAAAAGACTCGGTTGATTATTGTTGCAAGATACACAGATGAGTTTTGAAATAAGAAAAAAAATGGAACGCTTCACACTATATATAATCAAATATCAGCCACGCAAGTCAGCATGAATGATCAAAGAATGATATTACCTGGCGAACTGAGGGCAAACAATTGCATAATTTTAAGCCAGCTGATAATGATTTTCTTCGCGGTGAAAGGTAATCCGCCTATGTGATTGCGTCATACCGCCGCTCGTCAGGTCCGCATGAACAGGGCCAGGTCATTCGTTCGCGCGCCACCAGCGCGAGCGGACGGCGAATGCCGAGCGCATCAGTTTACATAACAACTTTGCACATGTTGAGGCGGAACAAGCAAATCCGCTGCCACAGACGAGGCATCTTTGTCACCACGCACCTTCATGAATGTAGACAATTAACATGAGTGTATGCCTAAACCTTGAACATGAATCTCGAGCCGCAGTCAACGGCGGCAGAGCGCATATTCTGGGCGGGCACGCACACGCGGCGGCTGCCGACTGTGCGCGCGCGTGGGGCGGTGGCACCAGTGGACGGGCGTCTAGCGTGCGCGTGGCGGCATCGGCGCCGGTAGACGGCCGTCTTGGCGCGCGCGCGGCGGCGGCGGCGGCTGTCTTGGCACGCACTCGTCGGCCAGCTGGACGAAGTCAGAGCAGCCAGATTCCCAACCAGAACTGACGGTCTTCCGACGCAGCGTCTTCAGTACGGCCAGAGACAGACTCGTTGTCCAGCGCCTCAGTCTCCTCCGTCTGGCATCACACAGGGGTGGGGCTGGGTTAATACAGGCTGACACGGGGAGTAGTTAGGTTTAATACCGATCTGGCAAGAGACAGGGTACTGGGTCAAACACTGAGCTGACACAGGAGGAACGGCTGGATCGAACACCGAGCTGACAAGGGGGTGGGGGCTGGGTCAAATACCGATCTGACACGGGGAGGGGTCTGGGTAAGACATCAGGCTGACACAGAAGAGAGGTTAGATCGAACACCGAGCTGGCACGTGGGAGTAGTTAGGTCTAATACCGACCTGACACGATGGAGGGGGCCGGGTCAAACACCGAACAAACACGGGGAGAGGGCTGGGCGAACACCGAGCTTTCAACGCATAGGCGGTTACTCGACAGGCCGAAAAGGGAATGTCAGAGAGTAAGTCACCACAGGAGCTAATGCAAAAGGTAGCTGATATTAGGAAAGATAATTACTGACAGCACGGACACGGAAAAAGGCCAAGCTAGTAGTACGAGACACTATAAAGTATCACAAATTAACAAGAACACGTCGTTGGCGGTTCATGGTACGGCACATAATTGCCGCACAACTGCAATACGAGGCTCGGGAGACCAATTCCCCGCTGACCCTGCAGATGCACTATCAGCCAAGCCAGTTCAACAGCCATATCAGAGCGACCATGACGTACATAGCTTCCATCGGTACCCCCCCCCCCCCCCCCCCACCTAGTACCCACCTGTTCAGTATAATCAGCTCACAGCTGAGACGTAGATCAGCGGCCGCCCTGCCCGCAGGTGCGCATCTCTGGGGCCGCGGCCGCCGTCAGCTGTTGTGGTGTCCCCAAAGCTGCCGCCGTAGCCAAAACAAGGCTCTTGTGGGCCTCATAGCCGGCGACCACGATCGCCACCATGTTGTCGCGTTCGACATCGTGGGCCGCGCCGACGATGTTTCCCCGCGCACGGAGCCGGAGGCCGTAAAAGCACGGACACTCCAGCAACACGTGCGCCTAATTGGCTGCTGCTTCGCCGCAGACCAGGCAGCGGCCTGTTGGACATTCGGTGTCACTGCTGACTGCACTGGGCGCACTCGGACGTTGGCCTTCTTTCAATCCGGTGGAGATGCTGCCCCGATCATCCCCAGTGGCCCGACCAGCGCTGATAAGTGTAACAGCCTTCTCCCTGGTAGCACTCGGACCGGGGCGGGGGCGCCGTGAGCTCCGCGCGCGCACTGGAGCAGAAGCGGCCCGCCGGGACCCATATGTCCCAGTCGTCTCCATCTGGTAGCGGCTTGGACCGGGGCGGGGGCGCGGTGGGCTCCGCGCGCGCACTGGAGCAGAAGCGGCCCGCCGGAACCCGTATAACCCAGTCGTCTCCATCTGGTAAGCGGAGCAGGGAGCCACCGCCGCCAAACCATCCTCCGCCGGCCCGTCCGAACAGATCCAGACGGCCTCATCCGGCAGCTCCCGGATGCATTCCTCCGCGCAGCACGGCCACTACAGATGCTGCGAGGCTAGCCCGCGGGCCGACTGCCGTCTGGACGCGCGCGCGCAACGGCGGCGCCAGCGAGCTGCTGTGTAGGCACTCGCCCGTCGGCCAGCTGGACGGAGTCAGAGCAGCCAGATTCACCAACCGGAACTGGCGGTCTTCCGACGCAGCGTCTTCAGCACGGCAAGAGACAGGCTCGTCCAGCGCCTCACTCTCCTCCGTCTGGCATCACACAGGGGTGGAGCTGGGTTAATACAGGCTGACACGGGGAGTAGTTAGGTTTAATACCGATCTGACAAGAGACAGGGTACTGGGTCAAACACTGAGCTGACACAGGAGGAACGGCTGGGTCGAACACCGAGCTGACAAGGGGTGGGGGCTGGGTCAAATACCGACCTGACACGGGGATTGGACTGGGTCAAATTTTAGACGTTTCTGTCACTGGCGGTGGACCTGCGCGTCACCCTCCCCGTCGGCGCCCACCTTCGGGACCACGGCCGTAGCCAGCTCGGCCAGCTCCAGGTCACCCTTGACATTCTATAGCTTAATCTGAACACCAGAACACACAGGTCAGGTCAATTATCAGTATTTTGAGTAAATCAATAACATTTTACCAGTTTCCCACGCATTTACTTTGATGCACCATAAGAAGCGGCGGTTGCTGTGCACTAACGTTTTCCCTGTAACTACCCCCCCCCCACACACACACACAGGCCTGTACCTTCCCGCCGTCCTCTCTTCAGTTCTTGTGTGCGAGTTCCCTCGTCCGTAGCAAGCCCCCCCCCCCCAGACCCGACACACCTGTATCCGATGGGCGTCCGAGCGCGAGACTGTTGGTGATGGCGACGGCGTCGCCTGTATGAGCGCACGCGAACAGTTTTTCTCTGGAATCCCTTGTGCACTGAAGGTTCATTTTTTCTGGAGGTCGCATCCTGCAACGAGAAAAAAATGTTAAAGAATAGCAAAATCCCAAGGGATGATGCATTACTTACCTATATGGCGGGCATCACCATACAGTTATGGAAATGTCATCAACATTTAACAGTCAAAAATGGAAATATGGCTTATGTGGCCTGCATCACTATGTTGTCATGAAAATGCCATCAAAATTCAAACATGACCATTGACCTTGAGTCTGAGTAGGAATCTTTGTACCGGGCATGAGCTGAGTTTCTGCTTAGCCTGAAATTGAATACTATGAAACTGGGCTTCAGCCTCTTGGGCTCGGCTGGGCTCTTTGACAAAAGTTTATCACATGAGCAAGTCTCTGACTGAACCAGTCAGCGGTCTCTTCAACTCAATGTGCTATAAATTGAAAATTTTGATGAAAAACAACATGCAGTTCCATTGATATTTCACTTTTTTGGATCATTTACCTTTCTGTTCTCACAAACCGGAGCTGAGTTTTACATAGGCGTGGGGACAGGGGGAAAGGGGGCGACCGGAGGGCCATGCCCCCCCCCCCACTTTCGGAGGTGGGGGGGGGGGGCAGCAATGTTAACTCCCCCCCATTTCTTGATGAACTTTTGCACCTGTATATACCACTCGGCACCCTGAACAGTGAACACCAAAGCTTGACGATTCTTCAGGTTCGGCTTCCCTTCGAAATTCGATGAAGATTTCCTTTTTGTATCTACAGCGTTAAAGTTAATGAGCGCAAATTTCCTTCACTCAATGTAGGAAACCATATCAGAAGCAACAAAAGAGAGGTCTGTTGGCAGTATTACGTTGAATACGAGGCGAGGCGTATGATAGCAGTGAAAGAAAAGATTTGACAACAGTGGCCAGAGGACCGAAAAACCCATGCTTTGCTGCAAATAAAATAAAAATAAATCTGCTTTGCTGAGCCGAACGCATTGCAAATTGCAGATGTTTTTATCACACTGTCATCATCATGTCTCCATCAAAAGTTACTGTCAAAAACTTATGGTGAGCATTGGTGAGATTTCTGGTGACCTCTAGGCTCTACAGTCTACAGGCTTCTGCACACACTGCTAGGGGCCATGCTGGTCAGTGGTAACTGAGGAGCCACGCTTGTCAGTGCCCTTACGCCGGTCTCTAAGAGCTACAAGTGGTCGATTTCTGAGGATCCCACGCAGTCTTTGGAGGCTTCACGTCGGCTTTCATTCACAGGATTCACGGGTTCTTAGGTCATTAAGGACTAAGCTGGTCCATTTTAAGCCTCAGCAGTCAGTATAGGTCTAAGAGCCTCAGGTCGCCCTAACGGAGCCAATATCGATCTCTTAGGGGCCCTTTGCTGGTTGAGAGCTGATGCCCTAAGCTTTAAGAGGTCCCAACTCGAGTTATGACACCTGCTCTGGCCCCTGATGGCTCCATGTCGTCCTCAGAGGCCTCACTCCGACCTCTGAGGTCTCATGCTGGCCTTTGAAGGCCCATACGAACAGGTGAACCCACGCTGGCCTCAGGGCCCTACGAACGATGGCCTTAAGAGGCCCCTGCTGACCTCATGGAACCCAGGGAACATCTAGAAGCCTATACCGGCCTTTGAAGGCCCCGTGCCGGCCTCTAAGGGTCTTCTCCGAGGGCCCAGTTCTGCATAAGGGCTTAAAACGGCTGGCGAGGTCCTCGAGATGGCCTCTGATGGTTTCTGAGGGCTTAGCCGTCGGAGGACCGAGGAGAGCAATTAGATGCATCGAGAGTATTCCGATAGGGTTTTGGTAGAAGGGATGCAACTACCTGACATAATGACATAAATGGCAATTAGATGCATCGAGAGTATTCCGATAGGGTTTTGGTAGAAGGGATGCAACTACCTGACATAATGACATAAATGACCGTGAATTGATCGACCTAGCGGCTGCGGAGATCTCTAAAAATAAGCCTCCAGGCTCTAAACAAGCCTAAAAATACATCACTTGAGCGGATCAACATTGACACCCATGACTTTCCACGTGGCACGGCAAGGGCCGGGCCGGAAGTTGCGGGGTCACAAAAATAGGTGGAGCGGTGTGTTCGAGACTGGCGGGTGCCAGCGAGGGCCGGGCAGCGGAGCAGCACGTGCTCCAGGACATAAAACTCTTCTCGGCACACGGCGCAGAGCGCCGCGGGGCACCGCTTGTCCAGGCACTGTTGGCCTGCCGCGGAGGGGAGACGGCCGATTTGGTGCACGTACAGGAGCGAGCGGCCCCAGTGGCCTGCCCTCATGTGGTGCACCGAACCGGCGTCCCCCCGGTCCTCTCAGAGGATAGGGACTGCTGCGTGCTCCCGAAGAGTGGCTTGAATAGTGACTCGGACCAGTTGCTGCACCATTGACGCGAGGCCTCCCGGCGTCCCAGAAGACCCTGCTAGGAGCCGCCATCTGGACCGAACTAGCGGCCCTGGCCGGTCCGTCCCGCCGGATCCACCTGCAGTGGGTGCCGTCCCATTGCGGCGTCGACGGTAACGAGCGCGGCGACCAGATCGCCAAGGAGGCGGCCGCGCTCCCCCAGGCGGCGGTCCCGGTGGACGTCGCTACCGCCCACCGTGCGGCCGTCAGAATGGCCCGCGACCGTACCACCGCCGTCTGGCCGGAGGGCTGGTACCGGACCCTGATGGGGAACCGGCTGCCGCTACCGGTCGCGACGGGGGACAGATTGTCGGCCGTCGACGTCCATCAACTTCGCGCGGGCCACTGGTCGGGCTCCCGCCAATACCTCCACCGGATCGGACGGAACTCTTCCGAAGATTGCCGCCAGTGCCCTGACTGTGCCCTGACTGTGCGGCGGGCCGGTGCACCGTGTGCCGGGAGGAGGCCGACACGCCCCGGCACCTCTTCTTCCGGTGCCCGGCCCTCATGGGCTGGCGTCTCCGGAGGTACGGGACGATTTTTCCGAGCCCGGAAGACGTCCGCGACGACGGAGAGGTGGCGGCCCTGGCGGCCGCCGTGAGGGACCTCCAGAGCCGCACGGCTACACCGCGGTAACGCGTCTGGAGGGAACAACAACAACAACAACAAGGCCGCACAATGAACCGCCCGGGTAGCGAGCGGGCGTCCGAGGGCGGGGCGACCGCTTGTTTCGCCACGTCGTTCGTGCTCTCATTCCCCTCGATCCTGCAGTGGGCAGGAGCCTGGAACCCACTGCAGGATTACTTCATGACGCTCGGCCATGTTTAACAAGGTCTTCCATGCCTATCTCCGCGCCGAGGGTGGAGGCCTCACCTGGGCGGAAGCTCCTCCCCTGAATAGACTCAGGGCGGCTCGCAAGTCGAAGCACACGACGACCGAGGCGGGGGACGTCCCATCCCAAACCCTCTCCAGAGCCGCCCGCAGGTGAATCTGCTGCTAGACTGACAAGCGTGGCGAAAAATTCGGTGACCGCCATTCGCCGAAAAAAATTCTGCGGCCGCCCTGCTCCGAAAACTTAGCGGCCGCCATGCGCTGAATTCGACGCATGCGAAGTTACGCCGGAGCTGAAATTTTCGGCGCAATCCCCGCCACCACGCCGGACATATTCGGCATCACGTGTATTTTTTTCCAGTCTGGCAACAGGAACGGAAAAATTATAGTCATTTGATGTTTTAAAGGGATTATCAGGGTTTAAAAATTGAAAGGAATCGGCATAAATTTCCAATCAATGAACTCCCCAGACTCTGCCGATTCTAAATATATGCATAAAATGTAAATCGGTACCAAAATTTGCGAGATATAGCCGTTTCAAAATTGACAAAATTGTACTTACTCACGCAAAACAAGTACTTGGGCGGCCAAGTTGGCCCATCACTAAAATGTAAACAAAGAGCAGCCTTGGGAAATTTCGCCAAGGCCGCCGCACCGCACTGTCGATTTCCACAAGACGGGCCTTGTCTGTTTTGTTTTTGTCTGTTGTTTTTAGGGCCTTGCAACAAGATTTCAGTGCTTGGCATTGAATTTGGATATGAACAAATTGAAGATTTGCTTTTCAATAAGACAGCAAGAGTTATCAACATTGCCGAAGTTATTATTTTGATTTGGGTGTGATTTGAATAGCTTGAGCTTGTTTGCTGATCATCAAATCTTGATTAATATCATTTAAATGTCAACAATTTTCAAGGGTAAATTTGAGTGTTTTATTTCAATAAATTGAAATGTAAGTGCATCAGGCACAAGAGCTAAGTTTCAATCTGATTATTTTGTCAAGAGTGGTCAATCTAATGTAACGTCTTGCGAGAAAGCTTACCTAAGTGACTGAAGAAAGCGCTACCTACAGTTTTTCAAGATCTATGTTGATCTGTTTTTTTTCGAACAACAGGTTGTACAACATGATGTTGTGACATGACCTCTGTGTCGTGTACGTCTCCCCTGCTGCTGCAGCAGAGCCCCGGCTTCAACTATAGTTTGTTATGGGTGGGCTCTCCGTGAACGTCTTGGTGCGTTTCTACACATTGCTGCTGTGAAAGGACGGTACATGAAAAAATATGTAACTTGTATGTTTTTTATTGCCCTGGTACCTACTTAATGTATATTTTTGTTGTTTATGAGTGATAAATGAATATATTTTGAGGAAAATTGAGGCATTTCAGTTTTAGTTTGTGGAACAGAACAGAAGAAGCTGCTGAGTGCAGATCATGCTTCAATTGAGAGAATCATCCTCAGTTATCTACATATAGGCATGCTTTGTAAGCTCCTTGCATTTTGCCAGCTTCTACTTGCTAGTCAAAGTTGTAAGAAGGGTTAGGGAGAACAATTGGTACACATGCCACCATGTGCAATCACCAAACGAATGAACGTGAGGGCCAAGTCCTTCACACAGCATGGATGCTTATAGGTACTGCACTAATGTATAATGTTTATTATGTTCATATTAGCAACTCACCCAGGCAGCCTGCCTTGTGGTATTTCTGAGTTTAAGATTTTGTAAGACTCACACTAATCATAAGGTAAATTATATTGATATGTATGGATGAACAATGTGCAAAGGGGTCGCACGTGCCTGCTCAGTGCTCAGCCATGGATGCACGTGCCTTCTCAACAATGGGCGTGCTTGCAGACATCTCCATGGACGAACAATGTGCAAAGGGGGGGGGGGGCGTGCCTCCGCGGCCGCCTGTTGGCTCAGCCGCTGATGCTGCTTGGCGCCGCTGCTGAGCGCTGCCGGAGACGCCGCTCGCTGCCGGAGCTGCCGGAACAGTCACCGGAGCTGCCGCCCGCTGCCGGAGCTGCGGGAGCCGGGCCCGCCGCTCATCTGTCAGGACCGCCGACGGCAGCACGCCCGTCTGTCAGGGTCTGTCAGTGCCGGCAGTGGACGCGCGCGGGTGCGGGCCGGGTACGGACGCGCGCGGGTGCGCGCCAGGTACGGGTGCGCGCCGGCTATGGACGCGCGCGCGCTTGCGTGCCGACGATGGGCGCGCGCGCGTGTATGCCGACCATGGCTGCCGCCCGCTGCCGGAGCTGCGGGAGCCGGGCCCGCCGCTCATCTGTCAGGACCGCCGACGGCAGCACGCCCGTCTGTCAGGGTCTGTCAGTGCCGGCAGTGGACGCGCGCGGGTGCGGGCCGGGTACGGACGCGCGCGGGTGCGCGCCGGTACGTGCCGGGTACGAACTCGCTTGGGTGCGCCCCGGCTGTGGACGCGCGCGGGTGCGCGCCGGGTACGGACGCGGCGTGCTCGCCGGGTAAGGACGCGGCGCGCGCTTGCGTGCCGACGATGGGCGCGCGCGCGTGCATGCCGGCCATGGCCGCGCGCGTGCGCCCCAGCCATGGACGCGCGCTAATGCGCGCCGGCGATGGGCACGCACGTGCCTGCTCGGCAGTGGATGAGCGACGAGCGTGCCTTCTCGGAAATGAGTATACATGCAGACATTTCATGGATGAACGCTTTCAATATGTTCAATGTGTTGAGACGGATCTGAGTAAACTGGAGAGAAACTAGGATAGTTTTAGTCCTGCTCAACTAGTTCTGCCAATAAGTACAAACACCACCTTGCTGCCAACTGCTTACCAAATACCGCATCTGTTGTACCCTTGCATGATGCATATGTACATACAGAAAAAAATACAGTCTGTTGAAATCTGAAAACATACACTGCTGAGCACTGTGGATGAATCTGTATGAACCCTGTGGCTCAGCGAAACCTTCTGGCCCAGGTTATAATTGACAGTGAATTAGGAATCAATCCTTGCGAAGAGAAAATAGATCATTGTGCTTTAGATGAGCATAATGAAGAAGCGTTCCTGAAGTTGAGTTAGTGACTTTCCATCATCCATGCCAGATGGCCAAAACACACCATTTCAATACTGTCCCAAAAATATATTTCAAAACACTTATTGCATGGCTATACACACCAGCTTACTCAGTCACCACACTCAAACCAAGGCCATATAAGGGTAGTAGTATAGCAGGCGTCACACTTGTTTTTTTGCAACCATGAACGAACGAAGAGAGGCGCTGTAGGTTAGGTTTGGTTTGGTAAGGTTTGGTGAGAAAGCATCTCTGGGTATAGCGCATCTCCTTGGTTGCAAAAAGAAGTGTGACGCCTGCTTTATGACTACCCATATAAGTAGACTCAAACACAGTCTACTGATACAAACGTCACTGGTCTCAAGTCTGCGCTCAATGCACCAGATGTACACTACTCACAATACGTCAGGACTCAACGTCAGCCACCAATTTTCTACATCAAAATTCACATCAGGTTTTCAAAGTAACAATGTATGTGCCACTTCTGTACTTTGTGCTACAAACACAGAATAAATGATATCAGTCAGCATTTACAG